GTAAGTGCTAGACTTGGATCCTTTTTTTGGAATAGGTTGGACATTACCAAATTTCCTGTTTTCTGGAAAAGTAAGGGATTTCTGGATTCCTAAGATATCTGGACGAGAAAAAAAGTGATTGGTGTGACTCCGTAGATATGCTCGTGAAAACTTTTCTTTAAACGACCTAAAGGATCATTCTCTGAAGTTACATAATGTAGTTAGGAAACACCTTAATCGTACATGATTCAGTAGATCTTTTTCATTAAAGAGGGAATTAGGTTTGGAAATAAATTGAACATACTCTAATTGATGATAGAGTTACGCGAAAAGTACATAGTTAATCAATTTGACGCTATCTTTTAATGCTGTTAAAATATCTACTGGTCTGACCAAGAAGCGTCCCTGCTGTCAGTAATCACTATACAATGGTGGCGGATCAACTATTCATATAACATATTCAAAACAACTAAGTACACCAACGTTTCGAGCCATCGAACTTAACCTACTCAAGTTTTGTTGTGATGTTCTAATTTTTCTCCGCAACGTGTTGTAAACTACTTGAATTATTTATTTTTGCTCCAAATTATAGCTCGTAATGTGGCGGTGATGGCTTTAATTGTTTAGACAGTACATACCTGTGGGATAAATATAGCCCAATTTCTATTATACCTGCAATTAGGATCGCTTACAATAAATAAATTGCCATCCTTTGAACGGAGTAGTGTAGACAAATATTGAACTTGTCGTTTGCAAAGTTTGGAGGCAGTTAAATAAAACAATGGTCTGCTTCCATAGCCGCCCATGAAATAATGGTCATGGGAAAGGAAGTATTTAAATCGGTCATTACAAAAGCGTTCAACTAAACCAAAAGTTCTTTTTTAGACCTCGTATGTTGAAAATATAGTATATGAGATTAGAAAGATTGAAATTTCAAATAAACCTGAAAGTTTATTAATAATGATAGTGAAACAAGACCGAAAAACTGTTCTGGCTGTTGATTTTGCAAAAATAGGATAGCTTAAGCAAGATAACCATATTCATCGTATTTTTTTATTGCTGTTTATAGAAGATTACATCGAAATATTGACTTATTAACATGTTACGTGTTTCAGTTTTACATGTCTTAATATCTTCAGAGGGAAACACTACTCTGACGGCCCAGGAAAGTGATTTATTGTCATCTTTATTCGTGGAAGAAAAGAACATTATAATATTGGAGAAAGTTACTGAACATATAGTTAACTAACAAACAAATATCATCGAACATACAATACTGAACAATGGCGACAAGTAGGTTGAATCTGCACTTCCCACGCAAGACCGTTCTCAGTTCATAAAGGATTATATTCAGCATAAACTAGACCCTCTGAGTAAAAAGTCAGTCAGATAGATCCACACAATTAGTCTATAGCATTCTTCCTCAGACCTGCCGATAGTGCATCTGGAAACGTCGCCTCTCCGCGGTCAGAGCATAGAAAACATTCACCAAGACTGGCGGCAGCCGTGGACGGCAGGTACGCGATCCATCTGCGAGAATACACGTTCTGTCTACAGAAAATATTTTTCTAAGTTTTAAAGGTTAATGTATGGAGAATAATGTGTGAAATATATCTAATAGCTGCGTAAAATTACCAGAGTTCGGAGCGAGTAAATGTACTAACATCAAAAAATTGAGATAACCCCCCACCAATTTTTGTACCATCTAAATTTTTTTCAAAAACCATTACGATCCTCTGAAACGACAAAAAACAAAGTTTGATCGGATTGTATTCTTTTCCGTTTTAGGCCTTTTTCTCGTGATGTTCATCTCATGTAATATCCAAAAACATACTACCTCACTTTGGAAAATTTTCGCGATTATAATATATATTAATTCAATTCTTCCGGTCATTATAAGTAAAAGATAATACGGATCTTGCCAGACTTTCTAAGTGCACATACCCTTCATCACTATTGGGTCGCTTACCGCAACCTGTTGTACTTGTTTATAGCTACACAATAATGGCCCACTTCTGAGACTAGGTAAGTAATAGGTATAGTGACATGTTTCGGGTTTTTTAGACTTCAAATTGTTTATAACGACAAGACGGTCAACATTAGAGAAAATTTAATAACTCTTATTTTTGTTCAGAATCATAAAAAATGAACTGAATAACCAACAAAATAGCTCAGCTGACGGGAACGCTTTGTACGAAGGTTGATGCAGAAATAAGGGCAGATCGATTTTAAACATATATAGCATTGCTTGTCCTTATACAAATTTACATCATTGGACAGATGGAACTTTGCCCTATTTCCCTTTATAATCACCATTTTTTTATACTGATTTTACTTCCCACGCCTACTTGCGAGGATGTGTTGCAATTGCGAAAATTTTCAAAAATAAGATAATACTTTGTTGTATGTATAACATGTACATCGCGAAAAGCCATGTAACTCACTTCCGTCGGTCTATCGGATTTTCACTAAATTATCACATAGTGTTACTACTAAGCTAAGGATACCAAAGGTTTTCAGTTTTTGAAATTCGGTCCAGTGCTGGTGGAGCTAGAGGCAAAAACTCAAAAAACACCCATACTTCGTTTTTTAATGTTTCAGATGCTCCTGCCAAGTGTTATCTAATTGCCATTTACACCACCTCTGATGACTGGCTGTGAAATACTGGAAGTATATCGTATAACGTTTGAAAGGTTAATCCAAATATTCACTAGTACTGTAAGCTTACAAAATATCTCAAACACATTTTTGCATGCGAGTCCAACCCTGTAGCACACAAAATCTTTCCAGAAGGTTCACAAGGCTGCTTAGTGTCACTCAGCGCGACGGTCCTTACGCCTGCTTATGTTATACATTCCATTCCTTCTCTGGGTACTTGTTCCCAGGACAAACTTTCTTAAAGATACGGGCGTGGCTGGCGATATGCAGTTTAATTATTATTGCGTGGAGGAAATCGCTCCTCAGACCAAGTAGTGCGCTTTGTGGACTTGATTGCAGTGCTGATGTGCTATTGGGTGTAGTTACCTGAAAGGTGAGCAATCACTGAGTTGGGTTATTGACACAACGGCCCTTGGCCAGCGTGATATCCCGGTTCCTGGACTGTCTTTTTGTAACAATCGTTAAACTGTCTGATCATACACCTAGCGATCAAAGAGTTAGAGTTAGTCTGTGTGACAACTCCGAGTTAGTCTGTGTGACGACTCCTAGTCAGTCTGTGTGACGACTTAATGATCAGTCTATATGACGGTCAGGATTAGTCTTAAATAGTACATTTGTGCATGTGATGTCATGAGTCAGTTGAATACGGGAGATACTCATAAGTCTTTTTCAGAAAATAGGCGATGGCCCCGACCATCCGATCATATCGCCCTTATCGCTTGCCAAAGGAGGATAACTCGTTGTCGTTTCGTCACCAAGTAAGTGACTTTAATATTACCCTGACATTGTTGCCCATATCGAATTGTTTATGTACTGCCCATGTAGTCAAAATGAAATGGTACGGGGCGGTACTTCGGAATCTTCTAAGATGAGATGTTTTCACGTTTATCGTTATATTGCTATAATCATATCTGGTTCGTATCCTACAGTACTAATTCAATATATCTATCAATAAAAAGATGAATCTGACAGTAGTGGGTTGAATACGATACCAGCACATGCAGCACTAAATTCGCCCGGCAACGTGTTACATTTGATACGTACCTTAGGTAAACAATATGTTTGTGCTATGATAAATTAACCACTAGCTCAACAGATTGAGTAAAATCAATTACGCAAATGTATATTGTACGCATTATTTTATGCTACGTAAAAAACTTTTCATAATGAATATTAATCATGTTTGTGTTACAAATTGAGTTGCAAAAGCAATAAATATTATGTGAGAGGTATTTCAATTGTACCTTTTAGTACAGAAACGTATTGTTTTTAGTCATTAGTTACGTGACTGGGCAAACCCAGTGAGTGGTGGTATGGAAATAAACAGCAGAATCGAATACAGCAGTTATATATTCTGGTAATAAATGGCATTTTGTACTATCTCATTTCGATAGACCTTATATCTTGGATAGCTATACAGATTTCGTTCGTTGTCCTGCCTGAAATCAAGACTAGACCACGCGGATGAGTTGCCAAATAGCACGAAACAGCTATGATTGGTGTGACGTCTGCGGTCGATGAACGAAGGCTGTACTCGTATTACCAGTTTGTCCAATTAGTGGTGATTATTATTGTAATGAAAATTACATCAAATACCAATATTGTATTCGGTTGAATTATTATAAGATATCTGGAAGAGACGCGAAAGAGCTGGAATAATAAACTCCGTTGTTCATCTCTTCAGCGATAAGACAACCAAATCCACTCCAAATTCGATGAGGGTTTGATTTGTCGCATTACCTTACGTCACAGATCTGAGATTAAAGTGGCTCGGCCTTGTTTAAAATGTTATCTTCAGCAGTTTGACCAACTTATGAATAATTCATCAAAATTCATCCTTTATTCTACTGGGCATGTTGTGTTACGTCATCTCATCTCGTAGACCTGCGACTTACTTTTCACGTGGCCCAAAGTTCTTAAAAATAGGTTATCTTCAGCAACTGTGTCAGAGCCCATAGTAAGTATACGAAGACACAGCCCCACAAAAAATAAAGGTCGAGATCCGTGAGACAGACTATTTCTATGTTTTTGTTTTCAACGCTGAATCCGAATTTGCGGTCCCGAAGACCAGGGGAGGATTTCTATATCTAGGTATTTTTATGATCCCAGATAACTACATAGGAATATCATGGTCCGTTTCACGGATCTCGATTTTTTTTTGTGGGGCTATGTTACCTATCTAATCTCTCCGTAACGACACATGTTCATTTCTAGCTAATGCTACAAAGGTTAGCCACCATAATCATAGAGGAACTCGAACACAATTTTCAACAATCTTTACTTCTTCAATGACATTCACCATTTTTAGCAGTGTACCTACCATTTTTGTAAAATAACAAACCAAGAACAAAAATATTACTGTACCTGCCGCAGTTTAGCCGGAACCAGATCCGAAGGGTCACCCTGGAACCATCCGGTGACAGAACCAATGGCTAACGCTCCCGCCAAAACAAGCATTGTCAAGCACAGAGCGACCAACAGTCGACTCTGGCTTGACAGCACCATCGCCATTTTGGAACTTGTTTAACATTCACATAACATCTTCTCAATGTTCAAGTTTTTCGTTCGGAATCATTATGGTAGCTTTATTACGGCTTAGGGTGAATTGTGTATCATCATGCATGGTCTGAACTATTTTTGTTTTTATTGGTAGAGCTTTGAAGAAAATTAGGTGAAGTAGATTGACTCAGTACAGACATTGATCAACGTATTCTAACTGAAGACTACTGACGGTTATGACAGGTTGCTTATTTTTCCGATTTTGACGTGAAGTTTGTGTAGAAAAGTTTCGTTAGTATGTATTTGTGTCCAAGCCGGACAAGAAATGAAGAGGTTTAGAATCATAGAACCACAGAAGGCCGTGTCCAAAAAACTAACAGAACTAGAATAAAAGGCTACCTTGCCACATATTAGAAAAATCAGGGCAGTTCAATTCATTCATTTACCTCGCGGGTATTCAGCTTAACAGCTGCTTCCCAATACCAACCAGAACAGAAAGACTACATACAATACAAAAAAATACAGTTTTCTCAGCAAGATAAATCGCAAATTTACTACATAAACAATGTCCGATTATATCCGCAGAGGTTTTAAAGTAGTTGGCAGGTTAATATATTTTGAAGGTGCCACATAGGAGAAAGGTTTCTTCAAAAAGGTTTCCCGTATGATGACATGTTTGGTGTATGCACAACATATCGCAAGTTTAAGTCCTGGTACTAACTTCTAAAGGAGAATTTGCTCAACAGATAACCTGGGATTCTATTATAGAAAATTGTACGGAGAGAAGAAAAAAGGTGTAGTTCTCATCGCTGATGCATTGTAAGCCATTTTATATCCTTAAGATGCCTCGAGATTCGTGAAGTATAGAGTACAAAGCTGTTTGGACCTTTTCTAATCAGAATGCCTCCTGTTGAGTTAGACAGGGATCATTAACATACCTAATCAACGTGCCCCAGCTTGCTTAGGATTATGTTATTAGTGAGCTTAATTTTGGATAGGTAGGATATTTTCACTGTACAAAGATTTCAACCTCGCATAAGCGGTAATGTATTCAGGAAATGTTACACCAAGGTAACACACGCTAAGCACATGATCAATTTGTTTCCTTCATCATAAAGTTTCACATTACTACTTTCAAAATTGATATTTTTAGATTTAAAAGTTACGCAATTTTTTGGAGTTGACCTTCAATCCGTTGTTTTTATAAGTAATTTAGCTTATCTAGCTTTACAAATTCCAACAGTTCAGAATAAGGAAGGAGCTTCCATGTTTCGATAACGGATAGACGAGAATTGTCACACTACAGGGTAAAATCGAAATAAGGAAGATCAGAATAAAACAGTAAAACAAGAACACTAAGAACGCTCTATTGAATAACGTATGTTTGGCTGTCTTTGGGCAGAAAACTTAAATCAGTGGTATGACCCATGCACCAAACGAATTTTTGAGGCTACACCAAAATAGGTAGTCGATTCTAATTACATAAACTTTGGGATTCTGTGAATTTAATGTGTACAAGACCTCGGAGCGCCATTAATAGCAATTGCAATCTGAAAAATGAGACCTACCTGATATAGAATCTTTAAGCCCGCTAAAGAGTTTTTTGACTATGCCTATTCTGCACATAAGAAATGTGAAGGTTTTTTAGCATATAGCTGGACAGAAATTAATTACGATATTCTAGTCATACAACACTGAAAAGACAATATCTGAAATTTGGGCAGATAAGAGTACTCCGTCCACCTTCACTGTTCACCCATTAAGGCCTAAAGTTATACATGTAACAAAATGTAAGGAAAATTAATATAATTCCATTTGATATACCAGTATCTTAGAGCTGAAAGGTCGGAGACTCCCGCTATAAAGTACCAGTTTTTTAATCTAAAATGTTGATTAAAGAAGCGTAATTATAAATGAAGTGGCTTGTTCAAATTTACTTTCAATTCAGAAGTTAATTGATATTGATGATGAGTGAATATGTCAGCATGCGGTCAGAGGCGTCAACTTTTTTAGTTATTTCTAGAAGGGCAATGAATTTTTGCAAGACATAGCAGAATCAACAACAACAGGTTTCCCTAATGTTTTGTGATTTCACATCAAGAACGTACATGTCACTCATCGGTCTCCGCATAATCCCAGAAACGGCTGGACCGATTTTTATGACATTTTGAAAATGTATTCTGAAGGGTTATAGTAGTTAATACTACTTAATTTTTCCAAATCGGCACATGAGCGACCGAATTATGAGTAAAAAAAAAGTTCCCGATGTCTGTCAAATTTCGCTTATTGCTTGTTTCTCAACTTTTTTCGCAAACAATTTTTTTAAGGAGTTAGAATTTAGAAGAACAAATCTTGGCTCTGCCCGTTTTACCAGATTGTGATGACTTTAGGAATTTTTGAACTTGAAAAATGTTAATGTTTTGAGCTACATACGAGTGTTTCGAACTCGACTTTCACGATTGAGATATCTGAAACTGTAAGTCGCTCAAATTTTGACAAAGTTGCTCATTTGGGTAACTAAGAAAGTTGCGCTTAGAAAGTTTCGTGATTCCGAGTATTTGCGGAGAGAAACGGATAAAAACTGAGTATTGTGATTTCAAAATAAAAACCACATAAACATTGCCACTTTTTCCCTCCACTTCACTCTTTTCATCTGTACAAACATTCAATATGGTTTACAAAAGAAATAAAAGTTGATGACAGAACAACGTCAAATTTGAATTCTAATTATGCCATCTTGTAGAGAAAAGAAACCGGCAATGTCAGTATTTGTATGCTTTTTATTTTGACATACCATTTCAACTAAAGTCAATAAAAAATAAAAACGATTTTAGGGAAATTCAGTTTTTTTCGACTCTCTTCGGAAATGGTAAAAATTTCGAAACTTTCTAAGTGCAATTTTTTTAGATAGCTGATGCGAAAGTTTGATACTTTGTATCTCTTACCGTATCCGAGTTCCCAATGGTGAGGGTCGAATTTGAAACACCCAGTATATCAAAAATAATTTTTAAAAAGTATTTGTGTATTGAAGATATCAATTTGTAGTAGTATATGCCTGTGTATTGAGTCAATGTACTTGACACCATTTTCCCCATTCTCTCGAATTTACGGTAACATTTTTATTATTAAAACTAACTGAGACTCGTTGAATAAAGTTACCGTTCAAATGAATATATCCTTTTTCGAATACATGACCGGGAAAAAACTATCAAAAACTCTGTCAACAAAGGAAACTTTCACGGTTTGGCGCGCGTGTTCGCTTATCGGCGCGCGATAGCAGCGCAACTGGCGTCCTTTGGTCGAACTAGCCACGGCGGCGCGTCGGACTGGCGTGGCGATCGGACGCTACTGCTACTGACGACGACGGCTTCGAAAGCGTCGCGACGCTACGAAACCTACGGCGTCACGCGCCCGGAATGATACTAGTGCGCACTCGTCAGGTGACTTTCGAATGAACTTCAGTTGATCGGCATTTTTAGGACAATGTTGGATAGGTCAGGGTTCCGAACTCCTCGAGGTGGTATCGCCTCGAACGGGGGAACGAAGTAACGGCGGGCTCCCAACATCTTAGGACTCCATGCCTGCCCGAATCGAAATAATAGTTTAGGATTCTGTTGATTCTACGGCGTTTCCACCACCACTGTGGACTTTTTTAAGTACAATTGAGAATTTTGTGACAATATGTTTAGTTTTCTGTCTTCTAGGTGATGTATCGTTTATTTTCTCATTTTTTACATTCCTATACAGTGTGTTACTAGACTGCTCTGAACGGATCTGTAACATGCTGAGATTGCGTGATGCTATCATTGCAATTTTCAGATGACACTGTACAAAGTCAGCAAAGGACAGGAGCACGTGGGGTACGCATTTCCGCTTCCAAAAGGTACGTCCAGTCACCCAAACCGGCAAGCAGGCATGATGTTATCTGTCGTATTCTTAATATACAAGATACGTTATCCTCGTCCATCGTCCTGAAAACGCCAAGAAACGCGAAAACGTACCCAGAGTCCTTGCCGCAACATACCGGTTGATTGTTATGCAATCTGCGACTACAAATGTTGTATTGTTTATGGATTTGAAAGGCAAATAATAGTATGTCGACTTCAGACGAAAACCATGTTGTTTGTCTTGTGAGAAAATAACATAAGAAAAAAATTGAAAGTAATAAACGGTTTGAAGAATATCATTTAGATCCTTCCTTCTTGGATATTCAACCAAATTCAATTCCACAGAAGAACTGGTAAGACAATTGTCGTTTAATTTCATATACGCTGATTCCTTTATCTTTCTTCTGTAATTGTTATCCTTTTTGTGCAATATTGATACTTCCGCACATTGAACCCTATGCCATGCTCGCTTAGAGCTGATTCAACGTGTTTTTTCTTATATAGCCTCTACGTTTTTTAATTCTACGTTTAACGTGTCCCGATATTTCACCAATGTAGCATTCACCGCAGTCACAGTCTGTTTTGCATGTTGAATTTATTGCATTATAGGGTTTGTGTCCCTCGTTGCGGTCGGTTGAGTTGCAGTTGTTTGATGTTCCTTATAACCGGTTACCATACTGGTTTAATGCCAAGACTTGGATTACTGTAAGCTTCCTTGAATTTTCTCCAATACCAGTGTGTTTCTTTGTGTAACATGTTAGCACGATCCTAAAGTATTTGGTGTTTTGTCCATGCGTGATCTGCTATTCCAGATTTATACGTTTCTCCCAGTTCCGTGTTGGATTTACTCCCTTTTATTCTTACTGAGAGTGGTCTTTTTGTTTCTCCTATGTATATCTCTCCGCGTTCACATGGTACCCGGTATACACAATCAAAGAGGGGGAGAGGGCGGACTCTGCATGCCACACGCACACGTTCTGGACCCACCTTAGAGATATGCCGGGTGGTACCTTCACGCTCGTCGGTGAGAGACCTTCTACCACCTACGCTGTAATTACACCATCCTTCATGATAAATTATTATCTGATCCTGTCAAATACACAGTATGTCTGAAAAGTTCCCGAACTGAATTTCTGTATTCGATGCAAGCTGCATGATCTCTTGAATAACCCCGGAACTGTGTAGCGCGTTGCCTGAGGTGTATCTGTGTGGAAAATTTCACCGCGTTTGGTCATTCCAGCCGTTATGTTCAGCCGTGTAAACTATGTCCATGTGACCTTGTGCAAATCAGCGACATGGAACAAAGAAGTGCGATAAAATTTTGCGTTTGTCTTAACATTTTTTTTTGAAAACAATTGTAACTGGCAACGAAAGCTGGTGTTTCATGTACAATCCTCAAACAAAACGTCAATCCGCTGCTTGTTTGAGTGCAGGTCTGCAAAGGCCATCGACAGTCGGGCAACAAAAGTCGAAAGTGAAAACAATGTTGATCGCATTTTTTGATTCAAAGTGCCTGATTCACCATGAATTCGTTCCTACTGGGCAAACTTTAAATTTTACGTTCTATTTGGAGGTGATCAAACGCCTGATGCGCCCCATTCGTCGCATCCAGCCCGAGTACCGGGATACGGACAGCTGGACTCTCTTCCATGACAATGCGCCGGCTCACACTGCCACCTTTCTGACGCGTTACTAGGCGACTAACCAAATCAGTCTTATGCCACCCGCCCTATTCACCTGATCTACCACCGGCCGACTATTTTTTGTTCCCCAAGCTGAAACTGAAGATGAAAGGACGATTTTTGGATGACATTTCGGCTATCCAGAAGGCTTGTACCGAGGAGCTGAAAGCGATCTCAGAAAATGAATTCTCCAGAGCGTACGACGCACTCTACCGGTGCTCTAACGAGTGTATTACTAGAGAAGGTGCCTATGTAGAAAGCTGATGTGAATAAATTCGTTTATCTTTTAAGCATTTAAAGTATGTAACAGTTTAGACGTTATTACTTTAATTAGTGAAACGTAATTAGGTGACTAGACAATTACATTAATTTATTAGCCAAGTCGGTCACGATGGAATTCGCTAATTACAATGACAGTCAGTATCATCACCAAGATTACCGGAATTGGAGCGGATACTCCGACAATAACTTAAGTTTATGTTATTGAGAGTTTGGTCCAGTTGGAGATGAGTACCGCAAAGCGTTAATAAGATCAGGTGATTTGAGAAAAAGTTGTAAGGTAACTTACATGTTTACTATCTTACGCTGAGAAGGCTTCTTAAGATCGGGGCGTGCCAATGCCGAGTACTTACTTAAATTACTTAAATTTGATATTTTAAAAACTGATCAGAAGAATCTTCAAAGGTTGACCTTATCACTAATTAGCATTGTTCTTCACTCTCAAGACTGGAGATGCTCAAGTAAAACTCTGACGCTCGGTTGGGGTTAAGCGGGGTTGAACTACCTATATGGCTACGAAATGAAACAACTGATTATCGAGAGCTGAAAAAAAGATTGGGCTCTTCAGTTGAGATACTATGTCAGCCAAGTGAGTAACTATCAAGGATGAAATTAATCTGATTTTCGTTATAGTTAATTGAAAATTCAAACTTCAATTTGAAACTTAGCTCATCGAATATGGTAGAAGAACTAGGATATAAATTAGATAAGTTGAATAAGAACAAGAGATTGAGATAGTTTCAACCCCAAAAGTATTAATGAGTTATTGGAAGATACTAAATTGATCTATAATGAAGTCAAAATTATGTTATCACGAATCTAAATAGATGCTATACGAATAATTAGTGGAATCATGGCCAGAAAGAAACTGTGAATCTAAGCGCTAAAGAACAAAAATCATACGAGGTCTTTTCCCTCGAAACCCAAGCAGAGAACTGCTCTTCCCGAACGCTCCTCTTGGACCGAGACACTTTTAGAATATGCACAATCAGATCAACAAATAATTTTCTCCATATTATTTGGTAAGTTAATCTATCAAACACCTGCCAATTCGATAGGTTGGAGAGTTGGACAGTCGTTGACGTTAAAGTGAAAGCAAGCCGATATCAGAGAAAAACTTCCAAAAAACCTCTTTTGTCTGTAATTGACTGGACTTGATGTTTTGAGTTTCTATTACATTTGGATATTTCACTTTATCGAACAAATGTTTAACTTCTACGAGCACCCCTTTTATGTGTTTATGTGCCCCTATACGCCGCTTCCCCCATTATCAGGATAAAGTTTTCGTTGGAAGGCTCTGAGGAGGTTCGGTCCACCTGCAAAGTGACACTGTTTTGTTCTCCCGGCAACAGTAATATCGCTTTTCAGGCTTCCTCGATCAAACTTTCAGATTTCTTCTCTGAACGATACCCAGCTATCCGTTTTCATCATTAGTCAGTAGAAAAAAAAAGGAGAAAAATCGCAACCAATTATGAACTTCTCAGCATCTTTCGTAACGTTAATTAATTTAACAGCTTCCTTTACACTTTGTAGTATTCATTATTCCCCTTAGAGATATTCCTGGGTAAACTATGGAAACTTCTTGTTAAAGTAGCTCTTTAGTACTTTCTTCAGAAAATTCCGTAACCAGACGTGATGGACATTCGTTTGCACTTCGGTGTTTTCGATGCACAACCATTTGGGCCTAATCAAGTCAATAGGCAGGAACGTACGTCACTCGGGTTACTAATCCTTCTATTTCTGCTGATTTTTTATTGCGGACATGCCCACGATTGCCTCTTGTTTTTTATCTAAGTTTCCGCAAAACGACTTGTCTTTCTTTGAAAGTTCTTGAAATTATTCCAAATCGAGAGTATCCAATATTAGCCAAACTTTCGCCTGCAATGACACATCCCCATTGAAGGAACGCAGATGCATAGCCGTTTCTAAATCAGCATCCAAGGTTACCCTAGTGTACCGAGTTTGTATGTTGTAGCCATGAAGGACCAAAAGACATTTTTCGTTGACAAACCATTAAGCTTTATAAGCAATCTGCCAATGAACATTTTCAAAGTTCCTTGCATGTCGGTTTCTGGGGTAGTAAATCATCACATTGATACATTTGCCGACTATTTCAAGCGTTACTCCTGAAAATATTTCCTCTTCTTTTGATAGTTCAACCTCAACACCATGTATTCTTATAAAGGAATTGATGGTGGTTGATGTACCGAAGTCTCTCTCTAAGCTTTCAAACAAACTTACGTCTGGTAAAGACCAAAAACCTTGTTTTATTAATAAAGATTGTGCGCATGTTTTTGTCTAACCGATGCTTATAATTTGCAATACTATACTGAATTTTTCCTGATTATTGAAAGATAGCAAATGTTAAAAATGGTGATCAATGTAATGTAGTCTACTACTAGAGCTATAAGCATTTTATACAATTTTGCCAATGCTGTTGGAATGGCCACTTACAGTTTTATCTTTGAGAACGTTAAAGTACTTATTACACACTCACAGCAAGGCTTCATGAAAGGTAGATCCATTACATCAAACATGACAATTATACAAAATAATCTATAGACAATAAACAACAAGTTGCTGTTATTTACATGTATTAAAATAAGGCTTTCGATGAGTTAAACCATCGTCTTCTAGTGGATAGCATTACTTCGGCTTTAGTCACTCGTAAGTCGGTCTCCTAAGCCCATATCTTACCAATAGAACGCAATATGTTTATTATAATGCTTATTGTTCAGCGAATTATACTGTTCCCTTTGGCGTGTTGCAAGTTTCGAACCCGTTTTTATCCTCCACAAATAACGTTACCGCTTCCCTA